AGAGAGAGAGAGAGAGAGAGAGAGAGAGAGAGAGAGAGAGAGAGAGAGAGAGAGAGAGAGAGAGAGGACTTGAGGAAGCGTCTCGCTCGTCGATGTATGATAGGGGAGGTCTGACTCGCCGTCGCGGTCGTCGACCGCTGCCGTTTAGTGTTTACTTGTCAGAGTCGTCACAAAACTCACAAAGCACGCAGTCATTTGGTCTTTTAAGCCTACCTGTAGTAGTTTCTTTTGCGGGCTGAGAACGCCGCGATAACCACGATACTACGATACTACGGTAGCGGAGCTTATACCTTTTTTGGGGGGGGACTTTCGAGCTGATCTTTGCGCTTCCATTCCTCGATTCCGTGCTGTCAGAGACAAGCTTATTCATGTTGACCAGGGTCAATGAATCATCAGGAATTTAGCACTGCCCCTCACAGTTCTTTTCCAACCAAGTTAATGTCTGTGTCTATATCTGTGTCTATATCGGTGTCTATATCGGTGTAACTGTCTATGTCCTGCACAAGGCTGCTCTGCGGCGGCTGGAGTGAAAGCCACCCAGCTGGACGACCTTGACTATACATGGTGTTATTAAGTCTTATTAGACTCACTGGGATTCGAACGGCGCCAGTCTGCTCTCAATGAGCAACAAGGAGGGAGCATCAGGTAAGCTCTCGCTCGAGACGCTAGTGCGTTGAGGGTTGAGGATCCGGCAGCGGGGGAGTGACAACAAGCCCCCGGGCCAGGGCCGATATCTATGCTGAGCACTGCGTTGCAGCAGGTGTGTTCTTCTCCAACCCGAGGGAACGAGCTCACTACTGGACGGCTTGATCGGCTTGCGTCGCCGTTAGCCACCGTTTGTCACTGCGGGGGCAGCCTCAGGGGTAAGCTCTCGCTCGATTCGCTAGTGCGTTGACTCCGTTGAGGAGCCAGCAGCGTAACGAGCTCACTACTGGACGGGCTTGAACGGCTTCCGTCACCGTTAGCCACCGTTAGGCACCGTTGGTCACTTAGGGGGAAGCCTCAGTCAGGTAAGCTCTTGCTCGATTCGCTAGTGCGTTGAGGAGCCAGCAGTGGAACGAGCTCACGACTGGACGGGCTCGCTAGCCACCGTTAGCCACCGTTGGTCACTGCGGGGGAAGCCTCAGTCAGGTCAGCTCTTGCTCGATTCTAGCTCTTGCTCGATTCGCTAGTGCGTTGAGGAGCCGGCAGCGGAACGAGCTGACTACTTACTGGACGGGCTTGATCGGCTTCCGTCACCGTTAACCACCGTTAACCACCGTTTGTCACTGTGGGGGGTTTTGGCGTAATGCAAGTGGAGCTTGGCGTGTGGGTGTGGGTGGCCCTTGATTTGCACAGCTGTCGGTCGTCCGATCGACCGGTAGGTGGTGAACTCGACCAGTAGGCAGTGAGACTGCTGCTCACTGAGGCTAACTTTCGTTTCCTCTCCCTGCGGTCCTGTGCTTCATCGTTTGTTTCCCTTTGTCCATCCTTCTCGGTTCAATTCCCACGTATTAACCTTTTTTTTTTTTGTTCCTATCGAATTTATCAGTGACATCTTCGAATTTCTTATCTTTTTTTTTTAATGCTGAGAGAGAGCTGCACGATGTCTAGCTCCGAGGATGGTAATCTGCCTCCTAGGGCCTCCAGCCAGGATTGCTTGTTCTCGACGCCGGATGAGGTCGACACTGAATTCGACGCCATACTGCTGCATGACATGCTAGTGGCGAGCGTCGCCCGGTCGTGCAGACTCACTAAGCGCCATGCCCATGCAGCGGCGGAGCGGCCGGGGTTCGTTCCCAAGACCTCCGTGATGAAGATGTTGGTTGCACGCACGCCATCGCAACGAGAAGCTATCATCGCCACATACCGTACACTGTACGGACGTTACCTTCTGCAAGACATTCGGGCGAACCTGGGCGGAATTGTGGGACAGGGGTTGATCACGCTTCTGCAGCCGCCAGCCTTTCGCGACGCAGGATGGATTCGCAAAGCCGTAACGCGAGTCCCGACCAACGAGAACCTGCTGAGGGAGGTGCTCTGTGCGCGCAACAACAAGGAGATCCGAGACATCCACGTGGCGTACAAGGAGATGTTCGCGCGCGATCTGTATCGGGATATCAAGACGGTATGTTCGGGGAAGTTTCGCGACTTGCTGCTGAAGATACTGCGCGCGAGGAGGTCGGAGGCGCCGGCGGAGGAGGTGCGCGCGGAAGAGATTGCGCGCGATCTTCGCCTGGCTTCCATCAACGCGTATAATGGCTGCGACACCGAGGATGAAGAGAGTAACAGGGATCTTTTCGTTGACGTCTTCACCAAAGAGAGCGTCTCTCAGCTTAGACTAGTTATGGAAATTTATCAGAAGGACTTCTCGGAGCCTGTACAGGACGCCATCGCCAGAACTCTCACGGGTCATTTGATGAAGGCGGTGAAGTTCACGTCTTTGTGGGCTCAATCCGAGGCCAAGTACTTTGCCCACCTGCTGCATGATGCCCTGTTTCCACCTCTCGATGAGAGGAAGTCGGTCCGTACGCTGCACTCCATTAGCTCTCGGACCCACAGCGTGTCCAACATTTTTCATCGAGCAGTTTGCGGACTGCAGCTCTCCTTGCATGCGCCTAGTGTGCAGACTGTCCCCGAGGAGACGACGGAAGTTACCGTACCAGGTAACTTACCATTGTCCCCGGGTTCACACAAGCCGCCGTCTTGCAACAAGACTTTCCTAATTAGGATAATTATGTCGCGATGTGACTTGGACATCGACCACGTGGCCGACGAGTTTGAGCTGGCGTTCGCTGTTCCCTTGAAGACTGCATTCACGGAACGGACGGAAGGAGATTTCCGGGACTTGCTCTCCACAGCTTGCGGCTTCTAGGCTGCGACTGCGGTAGGTTGGTTGTTTTAACTTGTTGACCTTCACCTCACCCACTCACTCGTGAACGTCCAAGTTCCAACCAACCACCGAGTGTGTGATATACTCCGTATCAGCACGGCTGAGCTCGCTCTCTGTAGGTGTACATGCGATGGTGTCTTCCGCCACAATCGGTGTTTGTTCTACGACGTATTGTTTGTGTGTAGCAGTGTGTGTGTGTGTGTGTGTGTGTGTGTGTGTGTGTGTGTGTGTGTGTGTGTGTGTGTGTGTGTGTGAGAGAGAGAGAGAGAGAGAGAGAGA